CCTGCGGCGTGTCGCTCGGGCCGGGACGCTGCGTGTCGTCGTTTTTCAAAAAGATGGGGACGTTGTCAGGGCGAGAGGGCGTGAGGTGCTGCCGTTGTCTGTCTCCCCGCTCCCGGCCGCTGTGTAGGTGCTGGCGGGATCTGGGCGGCTGAGGGCCGCAGCGCCCCGGGTATTGCTGAGGGCGGGGGCAGTGGTACACGCTCGGTGGTGGTGGATGCGGGAGGGGAAATGTTAAGGGGGCTCTGTATTTTAATGTGTGCTCTGATTCCTTGCCGCTGGGAAGGAGGCATAACTTGAATGCAAATCTTTCTTCTTCAGCCTCTGGTAGCTTTGAAATGGTAATTAGTAGCCGTTCTGAGTGGGATGCGTGTGACAGATGTAGGTGCACAAACGTAGGAAGGCATCTACAGCAGCCAGCGTGGTTCTGAGTATATACTTCTCGTCACAGTCACGTAAGCTCATACTACAAGACTGTCAGATGTGGCTGGTTGGTTGAACACAACGTGTTGCCCAGGCTAACAGCAGTTAATAACGTTTTTCCAGAGCATTGGTAGATTTCCATTTGTGAAAATGATTGCGTGACATTTTCAGTGATAACTGAGGACTGGGATCATGCAGATCTATAGTGCAGGTGACAGGTAAATAATGGCGACTTCGCATGTCCAAATTTTCCATTGTTAGGTACTTGACTAATGGTGGCCTGCAGAATAACATATTATGTATTGCATAAGATTGTCTCTTCCATCCATCCCCTGTTACTTTTTATTTGTCTCTTGGTATAAGATGGTGGAGCTTGCAGGCGTTGGATGTAAGAGTACTGAGATGAATTATCCTGTCAGAACAGGCAAACTTTAGTATTATCCTTAATCTTGAGGAACATAATGTTGCAAAGTTATTGCCTCATACTTTGTGAAATAAAACTGTTTGCTATGAATGATTTTTTTGTGTGTGTATGCAGTGGTATTAGAAAGAGAATGACATCCTCATATGCTTTTTACTTTCTATTGCAAGTGATGGGCTAATGCGTAAAAATAAAAAAACCCACCCCCTCCCCAAAACCATAAAAAAACCCTCACAAAGAAACAACTTGTGGGGAACTTGTGCAGCTTGATAGTTTCAAACATAGAATTTGATATGTCTTCCAGGCTAGAAACACATGCATCAGAATTATTTTTCTCTTTCATCTAAACTGATCATTTCACAGATGCAAGCCTGTGTTTTAAAACACTGCAAACTATAGCCTTATTTAGCATATCCAATTAAAAGTCAGCATAAAACTGCATCTTGTGCTTTCAAGATGATTTCAAACCACACATCACATTAGATGTTTTGTTAGACAGTTCTGTATTGGGAAAGAAGACCTGATCATGTGGAATTAGTTTCTTACCTGCTTCCAAAAAAATCTTATTAGAGGTTTGAGGAAAGAAAATGAAAAAAATCCCACTTAGAATAAACCCTTGAGTTCTTATAGGTGTTGAAATTCACTGTTGAACATCTTTCATGTGAAGCGAGGAAGAGCCTCAAATGTGATGAAGGCATGCTACTGAAAAGAGTTATGTGATCATCACTCTCTATTGCTTGTGCTTAATTTGTATGTCATCTAATTCTCGTGTATCTGACACCAGTCTGAATTAATTCCACCTGCCAGTCTGGCAGAAAAATTAACATACCCCCCAAACCCCCAATTTTTTAGTTGTGGAATTATCTTATTCTGTGAGTAGACTGGTGCCAGAGGTGACACAGGCAGTGGTGAAGTGGTGTTGCTCCTCTTGGCAGCTGTATGGAATTAAATTTGTTCAACTGTATCATCTGCCTGCACCCATATAGGAACAGAAGCAAGAAATTTGTCAATCAGGCGCTTTGTAAGTTAGGTATTAATGTAAACCTCTAAACTTTTTTGAGAATATGTTGTTTTTACAGTACATATTGTGATGAAAGGGAAATGTCTTGGCGTGTATGTGTTGCTGTCTTCTGGGTGCGAATAGGGTGACAGCCTGTTCTGTCAACACAAGTGGATTATCCAGGAAAGATTTTATCCAGAAAGAAAACCTGTAGCAGCCTTCTACCACTCGTTAGATTAAAAGGTGTGAAATGTTAATTAGAAAACCAGATTAAGAATATTGTAAGGAGATAGGAAGAGTGAGAGGAACGTATCTCTTTGTGTATATATACGTATAGATTTAGTGACATTTGGAAACGGACATTGTTTTTATTTGGATATTGAGTATGTTTTCTTCATTCTTAATAATAACCAGTTGAATGTTCTGGTTTTGTGTTGTTTCATGGATTTTATGTGTTTGATTCTTTGATATTAGAATAGTGTCCTTCCTGAAGGCTGTTCTTGGGAATTTTGATTACAGAAAATAAACTTTATGAACAAATTCAAGTGTCTCATAATTTTCTTTTTTCCTTTTTTGTAGGAACTCAGAAGCTTGAGAGTGTTGTGCTTAGTAAAATGAACTTTGAATCTTTTGTGAGAGATCTGCTTCTGGTTCGTCATTACAGAGTTGAAGTTTACAAGAACAAAGCAGGGAGTAAATCTATCAAAGAAAATGACTGGTATTTAGCATACAAGGTACAGTTTTCAACCTTTCTTTGTAATTGTGAGAGCAAAGAAAAAAATCCCGTAACTGAGCCCCTCAGCTTGGAGTTTTGGGATTTTCAGGGACTGACATTGGTGGTATGATGGTAAATCGTGCAGTCTGTTACACATCCCTGTGTTTTGTACTCCTCTAAGGCTGGAAGAGCTTGTTCTGTATCTTTGACATAGGTCAGGAAATAAAGGAAACCTGAAGTAGTTCACTTTGTGCAGATGATAGGTACAATTTTAATGGTTAAAAAAATAGAACAATTGTATGTTTTATCAATTGTCCTTTTTAAAGAAAAAAAGAATGTGTGTATGTACTTTTAAAAAGTGTATTTCTTTTCTTAATAGGGTTCTCCAGGAAATCTTTCCCAGTTTGAGGAAGTTCTCTTTGCCAACAATGATATGTCAACGGCCATTGGGGTTGTGGGGGTTAAGCTGTCTACAGCTGATGGGCAAAGAGTAGTAGGAGTGGGGTATGTCGACACTACGCTGAGAAAATTGAGTGTCTGTGAGTTTCCAGATAATGATCAGTTCTCAAACCTTGAAGCTCTACTGGTTCAACTGGGACCGAAGGAGTGTGTGCTACCAGGAGGAGAGACTGCAGGAGAGATGGGAAAACTACGACAAGTAAGGGAACCCTTGTGGCTGACAACTAGACCAAACTTTCTCTAAAAAGCTGTGTTGTAGCTTGTTAGCTGGGCTCTGATATATGGAAAAATGAAGGAGCAATATGTTAACTCGAAGTCTTGATTTATGGATCCAAAATGCATTATTTGTTTGTTGACTCATTTGTGTTTTAATGAGCAAAAGTTGTTCTAAGGGTAAAATCTTGTCTGTCGTTCTCTCTGCATCCTAGCAGTAAATAAATATCTCTTCAGGGTTTGCTTCGATGTGAGGAGCATCTGTCCCTTGAATATTGAAAGTAATTGAAAACTATGTGTGTTTATGGACAACAGGTCGTTCAGAGGGGAGGAATCCTGATTACAGACAGAAAGAAGGCGGATTTCACAACAAAAGATATTGTTCAGGATCTCAATCGCCTGTTAAAATCAAAAAAAGAAGAACAAATGAATAGCGCAGCATTGCCAGAGATGGAAAAGCAGGTGAGCACAGAGCAATGTTTAGTGTGCTCCTGTTTTTTAGAAGCGGTGTGGTGTGTGCATCTGTTATGAAGACAGAGATGATCAGCTTGCTGGTCCTGTTTTATGCTGGATTGCCATACTTCTGGGAAAGTAAATGGTACAACCAATGGTATATTAAGCTACGTTCTTGCTGAAGTGTTTAGCAGTTCTGCTCAGCTTGAATCTGTGTCAAAGCTGGATTCCAGGGGTCCTGGGAAAAAAAGAAAAAATCCTTTACTTGTCTCTTTAAAGTAGTAAACTGGTAAGCAAATGGACTGTGCACGAGAGATGCTTCCTATTCGTAATCTGTCTAGCCTAAGGACTGAAATACAGTACTTTGGTTATTTTGCATGACAGGAAAATTGGTATTTGAAAACAAAATAATGTTTATGATAATATTTTGTGTTTTATGTCATCTTATGGCTCAAGCATATGGTTTAGTGCCTGCATGTGAACTAAACATGTTTGTTCTTAACTGCAAACAAGAGGTAATTTGCTTGAGATAAACATGTTTTAATTTGTTTTAAAATGCCCTTCACTGCTGATGCTAACTGCAGGTGTAAGGTGCAGAGTTATTCTCCCTTAATGTGTGATTTCACAACAGGTTAAAATTGTTTGAAGTGTGTTGCAGCTGAACAAGTCAGTCATGCTGCTGCCTCTCTTTTGTGCTGGCACTAGCATTTGTAACGCCATGCAGTGAGTCAGATCAGGTCCTTGTTCTGGCTGAAAACTAACCCTGAAACCATGTCCTGAGATGATCCATGATATCTTATTTATCTGCAATAACTTGTTTGTGTTCCTGAGCCAGAAACATCCTGATAACAGCTTTGGAAAGCTGGCAAGGCATGCACTTCACATTTTGTTTATCAGATTATGCAAATGTCTAGTTCGTTGTTCTTGCATCTACCTAGAAAGACTCTGCACCGCCATAGAATGTTGCTATGAAAATGAAGTCTTGTCAAACAGGCCAAGTCTCTCACAGCCTTGCTGGAATTGATGTGGCTCAAAGACTTCCCCTGATTGTAACTTTCTAGGGGCATTTATCAAATACTCCCCAATTCAAGAGTGTTTCTAACTATAATGTTTGCTTGTTTGTTTGTTTTTGTGTTTTTAAAAAAACATTCAGGTTGCTGTTTCATCTTTGTCGGCCATAATCAAGTTTTTAGAGTTGCTGTCAGATGAGTCTAACTTTGGGCAATTTGAACTGACTACTTTTGATCTTAGTCAATATATGGTGCTAGACAACGCAGCTGTTCAAGCCCTCAACCTTTTTCAGGTAAGAAATGCACACTGAAATTGATAAGTGTTTTGCAATATACTTATTTAGCTGCTTGATAAATAGCCTGACTGCCCCATCACAGCTCTCTGGATTCTGATGAACGGCAACTTTTACACCTTAGCTTTTTTTTCAGCTACTCGTGTACAGTGTGTGTTTTAAATGCTCTTACTGCATTTTTTGTTACTTTACTATGAATGTAGAAGAGAAGATCATCAAGGAGGTAGGAAGTAGCCAGAAACAAGTGTCTATATAGAATGCAGATATGGGAAGAGCCTTAGAAGTACCTCATGGTTGTAGCTGCTGAGGAGTCTGGCTAAGCAGTAGGGGGGAAATGCTTTGTCTTTCCTTGGTTTTAGTCAGAGAAGTTCCCATCTCCAGTGGCAGGAGCAGACTTGGGGTATGGGAGGGGAGGAGAGTTCTGTAGTTTTGTGGTGTGATAGGGAACTCCAAAGCCCAGTTGCTTTATACAGTAGTGCTGATTTGGGGAAAGAGAATATTTGTGTATAATATATGAGTTGTGTATACTGTATGTACTCTGTGACACTTCCTTGGATTCAGAAGTTTTTCATAATGTAATACTGTCCAGAACACTGTAAATAGGCACATCCACTTTAGAGATTAGATTTTCCAGGGGTTAAATGTACCAGTATACCTTCTCACTGTTGTGGCGATGCTAGTTCTACACCCCAGTTGTTTATGGGCATCCAGACCTGCTCCTGGTTGAATGCTTGACTGCTGTTTTAATTGCTGGTGTTCGTGGGTAGAGAGGGTTGAGGTTTTCGTTCCAAAGTTAAGAGTTGAAACAAATTTGTTTGCTGTTCTTCAGTGTTAAACAAATTTCTTGCTTCCTAGCTGTTTGTGCAAAAAAAACAAACAAAACCCCAAGAAAATTGCCCAAAAGTCTGTCTTGAGTCCCGTTAATATTAAACCTAAATTATAGATAGTAAACTGTAATCTGAACAGAGTAAGTTTAGAGATGTTTATAGTACTCCAAAGATGATCTGGGGAAGCTTGAGGGAGTTTGGATAACTGTGTTCTCTCCCATTGCCTCATTCTGTTGTGTCCCCGCCTCCCCCCCAGCACCCTCCACAGATCTCCAACCAAAACCCTTGAACCCAAGTCCTGTTTCTTGCTGCTTCTTTTTGATGGACAGGACCCCTATTTTTTTTTGACCTTACACAAAGGGCAAACTAGCAAATATCTAGGTATTTTCCACTTTTCCTATTCAAATGGCATACTACCCAGTGACTAGATATGTTTCGAACTTTCCTGTTCAGTCAGCTAGTTTCAAAATGGACAAACCTGTTCGTTGTTCGCCATATTCCAGGAACTAGAGTGTGAGTGATTTATTGCCATGCTGTTTATTTGCCTTTTTTGATGGGTGCCAAGTTGAATACAGAAGAAACACTGATATGTTCCTAGGTAGCAAAGTTGAGTGCCATTCCGAGGATGTCAGTAAACTTCACTAATTCTTTTTTTTCCTTTCCAGAGTTCTGTGGAAAATGCTAATACTGCACAGTCTCTAGCTGGTTTACTAAATAAATGCAGAACGCCTCAAGGACAAAGACTAGTTAATCAGTGGATCAAACAACCACTTATGGACAAGAATAGAATTGAAGAAAGGTAACAGTGTTATGTGTTTTATAGACTTATACAAGTTTGTAACTGTTTTACAGAAGGCACTTTCTTTTTAAGCACAAAATACTAGAACAAAGAAATAGCGGTGGTGGAGGTTTTTGTGTGCCATCCTGTAACACATTGTAGTTACAGCAAAAAGTGTTTTTCCCTGAGATGAAAATTGACAGGTAACTGTTAGCTTAAATACTTTTTACAATTACGATGTCTTAAAGAGGAGGTATGATATGTTTAGATGGTCAGATGATTCATGCTACAGGCTAAGGCAGTGGAGCAGCAGAGCAGCAACTCCTTAACTATTATACTGCAAAAGCTCAAGTTGTATACTAATATTTTGATGTCACTTATAGTTTACCAATTAAAAAACAAACAAACAAACCCCCCCCCCACCCCCAAATAATTAAGTGGTAGTGACCTCTGCATTTCCAGGAAAAAACTACCTTGGTTGCAGAGTAGCACTCTTACCATATCTTGCCTAGATACTGTGGCCCAAATCTGGGTGGTCTTTTTCTTCCTTGCTTCCTTGCTGTCACCATGCATCTGCCCTACCAGTAAACAGCCATATCAGTCGATATGAAGCCTTAGAGAGTCTGGCAAATCACTGCTGAAAATGTACAGATAATTCTCAGTCCTTCAGAAAGGAAAACTGCAAAGGCCATATTCCTACAGGGTGTGTGTTTCTCTCTTGATTATGTTCACCTGGCAAACAGAAGTTACACTTTTTTAAACTCATACTAAATATAGTTATATTCTTAACATCTAAACCCAGACTTCATCCAACTCAAGAGAATGGCAGGTTAATACATTGCAAAATGTATGTTAATGTGTACTTTGACAAAGCAGAAGAGGCCAGAAACCTGAATTTAACTTTGATGCCTTCTCTAAGGCTAGTATTTCAGATAAGGCATTGCAGGTATGTCTGTATATGCCATTGGGCTTTAGCACAGATCACTACTACCAAAAAAGAATTTTTGGTGTGGTGACATTGATGTCTACAGAAGTTATACAAAGAGTAGTTTTCTCTCTAGCTTTCTAGAGACTGAATTATTCTGCTTCTCTTGAACAGATTTTGCTACTTTTTCTAATAATTTGAAAAATGGTGCCTAATAAATTGATCAGAGCACACCTAGAAATGTTATTAATGTGATACTGAAATATTTGTCCCCAGGTTTATTGAATGCTGTATCTTACTCTGACATGTATTACAAGAGCCTTCGTCATTAGTTCTTGATTACGTGCCCAGGATCATCTACTTCTCTCAGTTTTGGATTCTAAGATCTAATCCAACTTTAATTTTACGGTTACGCTGGTTTTAAGATTTTGAAAGTTATTACTCCCATTTTTAGTTTTCTTATGTCAAAGTAAACACTAGAAATTTTAACTTACTGCGAGTTTGGAAGAGATATTTTCTTGATAAGCTGAGATTAAATGGTAGGCAGAAAATGTAACGACCTGTTTTGTAGAATTACGGTCATCTCCACATTTTATGTTGTGATTCTGTATGGCTACTGTTGGCTGCATTTAGGAAAAGCTATATTTTAAGGAGGAGGGCGTAATTAAATGGAGTTAGGCTGTTAGTGAAGCTTGTAAAGGTTGGTGTATCCAAGTGTTAAGAGGTTTAAAGAGGTTCATTGATAACCTGTATCTTGCCCAGTCACAGAATCATCTGGGTTACAATTTGTTCAAAGTGGTTTCTTTTAATCTGTAGTTACGGGCACTGAAATACTATAGTCATACTTTTCCAGTTTATTCTGCAGCATAGCTAAGCCTGCCTGGATGCATCTTGCTTTCAGGCACTGCTTTGATGAATTTAATTCTTTGGCTTTGGAATAAAAGCAGTGTATTTTACTTGTAAGCTGTTGGTGTGCTGTCCTCCCAATCTTAACGCTTTTCAAAATGTGTAGGACTGTTCTTTTTTTAATCTGAAGGAACAAGCGTAATAAAAGAAGCTGCTAGTGGGACTGATGATATGTATTGACAGGTTCAAATATCTTTTGATATATACGCAGTCGCCAAGTTGTTTTCTATACGCCTTAAAGTATATTGTGGCTGTTTTAAGAGTTACAAACTGTAATTTAGAACATACGGGTGGTTTGAGAAGGAAATACCTGGACTGCTCTTCCTTTATGTCCCCTTTGTAGTCAAGGGGAGTTACTGATTAACGTGGCATGCTTCAGGCTAAGAAATAAAGGACACAATTTAACACTAATCAGTGCAAAATTCTCATCAAACTAGGCTGAACTACCCAAGTTGGACTGATGTTAGATAACAATGTTCTGAAGTAATCCTGTTGTTTTGCTTACACAGGAGGTATTTTGACTTAACTTTTATTCCAGTAGTGTAGAATTGGATGTCTGACTGTTTATTTAAAAATCTTTATAAAAGTTAGACTCTTGTAACCCTCTGCTGAGACCTGTAGGTGGTGCAAGTCATCTTTTGGAGCTAAATGGATCAAATTTTTCAGGAGTTTGTAACCTGCAATGTGTTGTTAACACTATGGATAAATGGAACACCATGTTACATCACTAGTTCGTATTAAACATTAATATAGTAACAACATATTAATGTGTAAGCGCCCTTGCTTCAGACAAAAATAACGTTTATCCACTGGAATAGCTCCTAGTGAGAATTAAGAAAACTGGGGTTCTTCATACTTGCCTGTCTTGAAAGACTTGGGGTTCTGCCTGTGTCTGGCTGGTTTTCCATGATTAAAAAAAATAATTATCAGGCATAAGTATACAAGATACAGCCCTAATTCTCCCATGTGGTGTGTTCAGAAGGCAAGTACATGAGGTTCTTGCTCCTTGCCTTATAGTCAGCATATTTCTGAAAATAAATGTAGTTGCAGAGACTGGAATTGCGCATACATATATTAGTTGCATAACACGATTGACTGTAACACAGCAAGTAACTTCAGTATGTAATTTTTTTTTTCAGATACTGGAAAGTCAGAGAAATGTGGCAAAATGTAAAATAGTGCTTGTTCTGTTATGCCCTGAGAAGGGAACTTGTGCTCAATATATTTTTTTTTTTCTTCTATATTGGGGGGGAAACTCTCTGACATTTGTGCAGACGATAAATATAAGATTGCATCTGACTTTTTAGTCCTTTATGCATACTGTGGCCTAACCTCTTACACGTCTCTGTCCTGTAGTAGAAAAGGTGCGGGGGTCTCGGTTCCACAGGAGTTACAGGCTGCACTCTAACATCACTTGTTCTGATTCAAGCCTCTTTTGAGCTTTTCTGTTTCGTTCCTAAATACTATGCTGCAAATTGCAGAAACCAGTCCTGTCTCTAGCAGAGTCAGAAAGTAATAGATTTTGGGAGCTTGAGGTGAACCAATGGTTAGCAGGATAAAATTTCGAAGTTTGTAGAACATTGTCATGAATTGGTCTTGAATGACAATTAAAGTAGCAGCTTGCTTAAAAACGAAAAAGAAAAAGCAACTTGTTGCTAGCTAGTGTAGGCAGACTTGATTGCCTTTACAGGGATTTATTTAGTAGTAAGTTAACCTAACATATGCTTTCTCTAGCAGATACATGGAGGGGCAGTGTGGGGTAATGCAGGTGTGGCAGCTCAGAAGCCGTGTGACTGGGGGCTCGTCTCAGGCGCAGACGAATACACAGCATGGATGGGAAACAGGCAGGTGAAACAAGAACTCAGCGTGCGTTGCAGGCCCGTGATCTCCCTCGGATCGCAGAAATGTCATCAAGCAACTGGAGTGCTGCAGGGCATGCTCTTTACGAAGGCTGGGCAGGGAAGATGGAGGGGTTGTGTTTCTGCAGAGGTATGGCCTGAATGCGCAGAGCTCTGTTGCGGAGGGGGCAGAGGGCTTATTATGAGCTTAAGGGTCAGAATTAGAGAGCGAAGAGCACGGCCGGGGGCATTACAGGGAGCGCCTGCAGCACACCTGCCCCATCACAATGAGGACATGGACTAAAGCCACCTTGAGACAACGAGAAGAAACGTGATCATAGGCCCTGGCTCTCTTGGAGGACTTGAGCCACCCCGGCACCTGCTGGAGTGAAGGATGATACTTGGATCTTTGCATGTTCTGGCAGGGAAGTCAGCAGTGTTGTGCCCTCGCAGCAGCGAAGGGTGACTGCTTGCTGGGCTCCACTAGTAAGAGCAGGCTGAGGAACGTGATTGTTCACATCTGCTTGGTCACTGTGAGGCTGCATCTAGGGTACTGTATGCAGTGTGGGGCTTTGCAGGACAGGTAGATGGACAAACAGGAGCCAGTCCAGTGGAAAGGCACTGGGCAGGATCATGGGCTGCAGCACGTGGTATATGAGGAGAGGCTGAGGGAGCTGGGTTTGTAGCCTGGAGAAGAGAAGACTACGGGGCAGACCTGACTGCTGGTTTCAGCTGCCTGGTGGGTGGGAGTCATAGAGAAGGTGAAGCTAGGTGCTTCTTGCAAGGGCGCAGCAAAACCACAAGATGAAACAGACATCAACTTCATCAAAGGACCTTCCAGCTGGATATAAAGGAAAAAAAAATCTTCACCATGAGAATGGTCAGACGCTGGAATGTGTGTTCAGAGAGATGGAGGGATCTCTGTTCTTGTTCAATGTTCAATTGAAATTAGCCTTGTTTTGAGCAAGGGCTGGAACTGGAGGCCTTGGGTTCCCTCCCAATGTAAATTATTCTGTGATAGGTTTTCACTACTTTTGCGTTCTTTTCTAAGCTGCAGCTGTCCCTGCAAAGCTTTGCAGATAGGCATTTTACTTCTGTCGTGGTGGTTAGCAGCTCTGCAAACACCTTCAGTACTTTTCCGAGTACAGGTCAGTACTTACACCAACACAATGATTACAGGCAGTTAAATTAGTAGGTGGTGGCATGCGTCCTCAGTAAGGGAGGGGAGAATGTGACCAACTTGGAGGTTTGTCTAAATGGCTTAATTAAAATGCACTTTAAATGCTGGGAGTGCCCCTAATGCCTGTAAAGAAGCTTCTGAAATACAGGTTGAATCTGAGCTAGTTGGAAGG